TTATTCAATTTAAAAGATGTTTTCATCTTCATCTTCATCTTCATATATAATTTTTTTATTTTTATATTGATATAAATTATGTGCTATACAATCTCTAATAAACGTGTAATTATTATCATTATAATTTTCTTCAATATTTTCTTGTCTTTTAAATGTATTATCTGTTTCTAATAAACTTTCTTCAATTTCATCACCATAACTTTCACAAATATTATGCAATATACAATAAGCAGATACTATACTTGGTATGATTTTAGTTTCAACTTCAATTGGTGTACATAAAATTCTCCAACGTGATTTAAAAATACCAAAGGCTTGTTCAATTCTAATACGAGTTGCTGAATGCACATAATTATAATATTGTTGTATTATTGTAAGATGTCCATTATCACAATATGGTACAAGAAGCCAATCAGTATTCGCATAATCACTATCACCAAGTATATAAGAATTTGGTAGTCCTGGTCATATTACTGAATTAGAAAATCTTTGATAAAAAGATGAATTACGTAAAACTTGAGAATCATGAGTAGCACCTGCCCAATCACAATAAATATTAAGAAATTTGCGCTGATGATCACATACTGCTTGTAAAATAATATTATAAAACTTTTTTCAATTAAAATAATTAATTGCATCTTTGGATAGAGCTTTAATTAGTATATGACTTCTATCTATTGCTCCAATAATACGTGGAAATTTTTTTATTACTGAAAAATCTTGAATTATAATTTCAAATTCATTTATTGTTTTGGAAAATCTTTTTTAAAAATATTATTAATTAATAATATTTTATTTAAATTTAATTTTAAATATAATACTAACCTAATTTCATTTTCTAGAAAATTTTTATTAATCATCTCAATAAAATTACATGATGCATAATGAAAGGTTGATTCTGCCATATCACATAATTCTGATATAGCACGCAAAGTTTTACCATTACCAAGCCACCAAATTGTCGCAGCAAATTTTTGTTCTAAAGGTAATCCACGTAAAGATGTTTCCAAATCATTCATAAAAGGAAAGAGTGAATTAAATAATCACTCAAATATTGATTTTATTAATCGATAATATCTTTTAAATTCCAAATCCGACCATTTCAAACTCATAAAAATCCATTCTGTACTTCTTTGTCTAATTTTTTGATGTTGTTTTTTGATTTTATTTTTTTCTTGCTCTGTTTCTAAAATCTTAATTACATTTATGATAATATCGAGAGTATCTTCTTTAGATTCTTCTGATGAGAAAGAAGAAGAAGAGCTTGAAGATGAAGATGATTCATTCCATGATTGAATAAGTGCAAGTATTGCCGTGATATTATTATCATTATTTAATTCATTATTATTATTATTCATTGCTTCATTATCTATTTTTTATGAATTTAGATATGTGGCAATATTAGTCAATTAAAATTGCAATCTAAAATGCATGATGAAGATATTGGTTTGAATCACAAAATCGTGTGAAAAAGTTTGGATTTGGTTTGGATTGCGTTAAACCAAAACTAATCTAAGATTGATCAAAATCAAATTCAAAATCCCTATGTGAAGATACCCAATATATTTAACTTATCCCTGACTTTGCTAAACATAATTTTTACTATAATAAGTAATATCAAAAATAAGTAGATCCTTAGATTATGCTTCACATAAATTAAGTAAGTCTTCACATAAATTAAGTAAGTCTATTATTAAAATTGATCCAGATAAGAAATTGCAAATTATAAAAAAAAATTGTTAAAATACTATTGAATTATAAAATATTATTAGTAAGATTTATAAATAATTTATTTGATTAGATCTAATGTAAATAGTTCATCTTGAATAGTCTTTTCTGAATTTTTATTATTATACTAAATATAAAATAGATATACATCATTTTTGTCAAATAATTCTTTTTTTAGTTGATCTTATTCTTGTTACTTAATAAAATTTTCTGGATTTTCTTTGTGAAATAGTCTATTATATTGAACATGTTGAAGTTCCTGTACTTTAATTACAAAATCATATTAATAATAAGGAATATCTAATTCTAATCCTATTAGATATTTATGAGTTTTTAAGAAATTAGATTAATATATAGTAGATGATAGATCAAGATATTTTGTTACAATATCATAATATAGATTTTCACATTTATATTTTTGATAATATAAATATCAAAATCCATAATTTCTTATGATATTAAAAGATACATATCAAATGTGTTCTTCAATATATTTCTAATAATAAGGATAATCAGATTTGATATATTCTTTAGAAAGATACTGATCACTATGCAGATATGCAATTTTTTACATCTCTTCAAGATTAAGTTTAAATCTATATCTTACATATTACAGATATCAAGTATTGGTATTTTTCATATTTTCTAGAGTAGTATACCATAAATGATTATTTACACAACTTCAGAGTAATGGAGTTTCTTTATTATTATATTAATCAGAAAGATATTGGTCACTCTTATTATATACAATTTTTATAATAATCTCAAGACCATAGAATTGATTGATAGAATTATATTTATGATACTATGAATCTTGATTCTTAATATTTATAAGTGAAGTAATCTATCTATATCCTTCAGAATATTCTCAAATAAGAGATGATGCATTATTATCATATAAGCTTAAAAGATATTTACCTCTATATATATGTATAATTTTTATTACTATCAAAAGATTAGAAGACTCATATTTTAGATCAATATTTTTTCACTTTTTTTTAGAACATATCTTATATCATCTCCTTATACTTTTTACATATTATAAAGATGTTATGAATTTGTAATATAAAATACATTTCCAAATTAATAAAAAATTATTATTGATATATATTTCAGATAAATACTCTTTACCTTTACTGAATGCAATCTCTTTAGTAATTTGTAATTCAACTTTTCATCTATTCTAAGAATATTATAAATATCATAAACCAGACTTTACAGCATAAAGTTCTCTTTCCTATTCATGATCTTTAGAGTATTTCTAATATAAGAAATATTTAATATGAATATATTTATTAAATATATATTTATCTCCATGAGATTCAGTCAAATTTTATGTAGTTTTTAAAGAATACTTTAATTAAGTTATTTTTATTATTATAACATATTTCTAAATATAAATAGAAGAACTACAAATTTTAATAGATTCATCAAGAGCTAAAGAACTTGATCAGAATATAATATTGCATAAATTTTTCTATTGACCTACTGGATATTTCTCTAATGTAAAAGTATTAAGAGATGCATGCTTGAAAAAAGAATATAAATTTAATCTCTCTGCAATTAAAAAATAGCTTATAAATCAAAGTATCTAGCAAATATATTCTTCACCCCAAAATGTATATAATACATTAGTTATGATAAAATTTCATGTCTAAATTATATACATATATGTAACTTCTTATTTCTTACTTATGATTATTACAAAGGTAAAAAATAGATAACAGTACTTAATATAATAAATATAGATAGCTAGTTTAAAGTTTCAGTTTCACTTATATCAAAAAAATCTAGTAAGATCACCAAAGTATTCAGGAAAATTTATGATAATTCTAATAATTCTCTTATCTATTCTTAATTACTATAATATGATAGTAGAACAGAATTCAAAAAATTAGTAAGTCAGCTAATAGAAGCATATAATGTCACAATTTAAGTAATTGATATTTATAGTTATCATGAATTAGCTCTTGTAGAATGATTTAATAAGATATTAGCAGAGATGCTTTATAAAATCCAGTATACTGTTGAATTAATATCTAAAAATTCTAAATTAATAAGAGAGTGGATCAAGTATTTGCCAGAAGTAATAGATTATTTTAATAATTATTTAACATGTCTTATTTAAGCTTTAGATTTATCAAAATAGAATTTAACTCTAGCAAAAGCTATTAAACTAGAATAAGTAGAATCTAGATCATCTACAAAATATAAATATTCCATTAGAAAGGATGAGAAAAATAAGTTAAAAAAGAGAAATAGTATTTGTTATCTGCTTGCTAATGCAGAGTAAAAAGAAGATATGGAAAATCAGAAGCATGTGACAGATCCCATATTCAGTCTAAGCATTCATAAAATTCATAAAATTGTAATAACAAAGAATGAATCAGTTTTATATTATCTTGAAAGTGATGATGATGAATATCCTCCAAAGTAGAAATTTGTACAAGAAGAGCTCATGCATATAGATTTAGAAAAACTTTAGTATCCATCTCAGAGTATATTAGAAGAAAAAACTCATTCTAGATCTATTAATTTTATTCATATTATTAATAAAATAACTAAGACTGAAGAGTATATAAAGAAGTGTAATAGAAAATATCTTGGTAAAACTGGCTAAATAAATAATTTCAATGTATATCTCTGGTCTTGTAAAAATAGAAAACATCAGTAAAAATATTCATATCCATTAATAGCTATAAAATTTAAATAGTATCTCCTATATTATCATATTCATGAAAGAAGTTGTCAATATATTTTTAAGAATCTACTAGATAAAAAATTTCTACTATACATACCAAAATTCTTGGGTGGATTGAGACTTGATAAATATAATAAAAAACTAAAATTAGTGTGAAAGTATAATAAAGTTCAGCATTTTTATTGTAATAATTTATATCACAAAAATCAAGATGACTTAGATTCATAAAGGACATGTGATCAAAAAAAGTGAAATATATGCAAGAAGTGAGATAGATCTTGTTGAAATTAGTTATGATATGAATTTGTTTTCTTATATAAAAAGCAAATTACAAGAGAAGAACTATTTATCACACAAAGAATAAACTTATAAGATCATTATTTTTTAATATAATAATTTAGCATTACTTATCTTGATCAATATGAAAATAGAAAAGCTAGATCTTGTAGAGAGAATAGTTTTAAACATTGATGAATATAATAATGCAGAAAGATTTAACTTATTAAATAGTACTTCCCAATGATTTTTTAACTTATTAATTAGTGGATGAATCAGATCAGGAAAAACTAATAAAGTTATCAATCTTTTACTTGGAAACAAGATGTATCAATTGTTTAATAGAAAAAAAGGTGGAACAAGATATATTAAAAATGATGATTTAGTTTTGATTAGACATCATATTAATGAGCTAAATACAAATATCTGAAATATTATTATGAAATAATAGCAAATAGTCCAAAACTGTATTATGAAGATATTACATTCCAAGCAATAAAGCCTGATAAAATGCCAAAAATTAGCAATTTCTCTCCTAAAAGAGGAACAGTAGTTGTATTCAAAGATTTATATACTGAGCCTAAAAAAATACAAGATAAAATTGCTCCATATTTTAGTGAAGGACGACATGCTAATATCAATTCAATATATATAACACAAAGCTTTTTTGACTGTCCTAAACTAATAAGAAAAAATCTCGATTATATTGTTCTCTTTAATGGCAGTGGGACATATGATGAACTAGTTAACATCACCTGACGATATACAAAAAAATGGCGCAATGTTGTTGATATACTTGATAAAAATTTACAAGATAGGGAATTTATTGTTATCGATTTAACTAGAGCAAAAGAAGACCCTCTATATCTTCGCAAGGGATGGGACCAGCCTCTTTATCTTTCTAATGAGTAGCATAATTTACGGTAATAAGATAATAATTATTTTTTCCATTATTTATTAATACAGCAATATAAATATATCCTACTCGCCACTTCTATTAAGAAGCTGTCCGTATCCAGCCGTGATTTGGAATTGAAGTGGATGTTTTCAATATCTTATTCGCTACTATTCTCAAATGAAATAGCTATCAGTATCCAATTTGTAATTTTATATTAAAAATATATCTTAGATATTAAAAGTAACAATCTATTATAATGAAAATATTATCTTTAAGTGATGTTCAAATAACTGCTAAAAAACGTAATGGAAAATGTCTTTCCACTCAGTATATCAATGCCAAAAGTCCCTTAGAATGGAAATGCAAAAAAGGACACACTTGGTCAGCATCTCTTAATCGTATAAAAGATCATGGTAAATGGTATCCACATTGTGCGGGTAATATTCGTCTTACCTTGAAAGAGGCTATTATAATTGCTGAAGATCGTGATGGAAAATGTCTTTCCAATCAATATATTAATATTATAACTCCATTATTATGGCAGTGCAATAAATCGCATATATGGTATGCATCCCTTGCTAATATAAAAAATCATAATACATGGTGTCCACAATGTGCAAAATGTGGGTTTAAGTTAAATATTGGCGAATTACAAAAAACTGCTTATTTACGTGGTGGTAAATGTCTTTCTAAAAATTATACCAAATCTAAAAATCAATATTATTGGAAATGTGATAAAGGGCATACTTGGTATACATCCTTTAATAGTATAAAAAATCATAATTCATGGTGTCCATTTTGCTCAAAATTCAAACGGGAGAATTTATGTCGTGAGATTGTGACAAAATATCTTGGACCTCCGTCAGAAAATCGTTGGTCAGACTTTTAAAAACGTTTGAATCCCCTCAAGGTCTACAACTTGATATATTTTACCCAGAATATGGTTTTGCAATCGAAGTACAAGGAGAACAACACGAAAAATATATCAAATTCTTTCACAAAGGAGATCCCAATAATTTTATCAGACAGCAAGCACGAGATCAACTTAAGAAAGAATTATGCGAAGAAAATTGGATGGTTTTAAGGTATGTTTGGTATTACGAAGACCCATATATTGTTATTCCAGAGCATCTTCGAGAATTGGGTCTCATTGAATAAACATAAAACTTTAATTACATTTGTGCAATTTATTTTTTTGAGTGTATAGATCATATTCTAAAATACGTTTATTACATCCCTACTAGATATGATACATTGGCATTCGCCAGACACGAATTAAAAAAAATCAAGCTTTATTGGACAAAACTTTATTAACCACCTCGCATAAATGCTCGAAGCCAGAGATAAAAAGCACATGAAGAAAATCTGGTTAATTGTCTCCAGAAGTCTATGATTGAGGGTATTGGTAACTGTGAATATGAGAAAAATTTGCCACAGTAGACTTTCTCACTGATAACTTTCAAAATTTTAGCAACATCATTCTATGTTTAACCTTGAAATAGGTGATGCGAAAAAGTTTTATTAAGTGTTTACCCATACATACTAATATAAATTCATTCACATGGTTAAAAATGACGGAGAAACTTTACGTACTAAACTAATACATTCAACTAGAAACCATATAATCTTACAATATCCTTGTTTGGAGTATTCGTATTGCTTGAAGTACCTTTTTTATCCTTACTACTTGGAGTATCAAAACTGGTTGTGCGACAAATTACATGCCGTGGAGGAGAAAGAATTGATGTGTTCTCGCATGATTGTTGGAGGGCCTGGAGTGGATTTTCCTCGTCATTTTCATTCATCATCTCAATGACATTGCTAACGATTTTCTATTCGTAAGAAATTTTTAGACATTAATAATCATATTCAACATATTCCAACAATCAATTAATTATATTTCCTATAAGACACAAACCTTTGCCTTCCACGCAAGTTTAATGGCTGGAAGAACTCCTTTGCAAAACTCACTGATATTTGATGGGATGGTCAGCATTTTAGAACGAGAGATTCTACTAACATATCCTGCCGGAGAATCTAATCTGAGCAATAGTACAGAAAGTCCTAGGGAATTCGGAAAAATTAGTTGAGAATCTGGTAAATAAAAAATATGTATGTATCATACCTGCATGAATGAATCCGATAGTCTCAAGCTTTCTGACTTTTTTTTCTTTCGATCCCATATGAATGCATAAGTCATCGAATTGATAAGATTCTCCCCTGTTCACAAAATGATCCAGAGTGTTAATGATTAATTCTGTGAAGGGATATAATCACCTGTCTTACCTAATTACTTCGACACCTTCTATGTTCTCAAACGCCTTGTCTATGAACAACCATACATGTGACAGTAACCATCCTTCTAAATGATCTCCTTTTTTTAGGCTGTCTGCTTCATATTCACGAATACTATATGAAATAGGTGGCATGATTAACATTTAATGTGTTCTTTTAGATTAGATAAGAGAACCTTGCACCTACAAATTGTCAACGGTGTTCTTTATCCAATCCCTGTCAAAATCCCTTTGTCGGTTGTAAGCTGATTACCATGGTTCTGACCTAAAAACCCGTGCTCTGAGGTCAGAAATTGTGGACTATTCAAATGAAGTATTTGTCAAAACATCATTTGTGAATAATGATCGAAGCATAATGATATGAAAAATACGTGCCAGTTGGTAACTACCAAGATATTCTAACAAATCTTGGGGCAAATTCGGAAATGATTTTTGATTGTATGTATAAATTTCTTTGAGTTCAGAAGGGGAGAAAATATTTTCTTCAACAAAGCTTCTGTCTTCCGGATCAATTATAAAAGAATGACAGAGACTTTTGACATGTTAATGACTTAGGATCAATAATAATCTGATTTTAAAACAGCCAGTACTTACTGTTCATAATTGCATCTCATGCCAAACTTGTATAACTCATCTTCAACAACCTTCCCAGATGTTAATACCCATTTTTTTGTATTTTCAAGTTTTTGGAATGCCTTTGTGAACTTATTAAAATCCTCCTCTGACATCTGCACCTGCTCGACTATGTCATCACTGTCTGTTACCAAATCCGGTGTTTGTCGTGGAATACTTGACTGGGAACTACTTAAACTTCCGGCTGGAGAGCTAGAACTTCTTATTTTCGTTTCTTTATTCGTTTTGATCTACATAGTCCAAGGATAAAAAAAGATGTTTTCGCGATCTAATAACATACTGTTAAAATATACCGGTATAAGTTACCTTCTTAGGTTTATCTTGGTATTCCGAACCAGAGGAATCCGTCACTGTTGGGCTTTCGATATAACAGACTTTCTTTTTTTCCCTAAGTCTCATCCCAGCCGAAGAAGGTTCTCCTTCCTGAGTTGAAGTTCCTTCGGTATTTATTATTTCTTGATGTCCTCCAAACATTATATTATGGCTATTGTTGAATTGGGTCGCGTGATTGAACTGCTTTATCTTCTTTACCTAATGAAGAAATATTGGTATTTTTTTGTCTTGGTAAAATTTTATACTAGAAGCCTACCTGAAGATTCTCAATCTTTGCGCCAGAACGTTTTGGGTTCTTTTGTGCAGTCCAATTCTCGGAAAACGCAATATATAATTAATATCTAGAATCATTTCCGATCATAATCATTTCCGATAACAATCATATCCAATAGCAATATATAATTAAACTATCCTTCAGACTAGCAGTCCCAGCTTGCACTAGGCGTCGAACTAGCAGTTCGTCACTGGAGGCTAGCAGACCCAGCTTGCGCCAAGCGTCGAACTAGCAGTTCATCACTGTCGGACTAAGTTCAGCTCAATACTGCTTATTTCATTCAAACCTAATAACATACCTTCCAGTTGTCGAGGATATCTTGAGCTTTTCTCTTGCGAGTCATATCAAAATCGTCTAAATTTGCCACTTCTTCAAGATCTTTTTTTATGCAATCTAGAACTTTTCTCCTATTTTGTCCTGATTTCGAACGATAATATTCTTCCATATTTACACATGTCAGTTTTCGATCGCGGTGTCATTGTAAAAAGCCTTAAGAGTGGATGTTGACTGTGTAGACATGTTCGCGTTATCGTGTTAAAATAATGATAATGCGATCAGTCATAAATATATGATGCAGTAGTTCACGTTACTTTATTACGTATATGGACGCCATTGCTTTACAATACTACATATAAAAAAAGTGCCAAACTTCGAGACTGTGACAGCCAGTCACGGTCGAGTTACATCATAGTCACGTGACCAACACATTTTACCCTGAATTAGTATTCTTCCTAACCTGCAATGCTACGTATTTGATATTTTCCGAACTTAAATTTGAAATCGATGGTGCAGTAAAAGTTTTTATTCGCTGGATATATGTCATCCGTTGAACTTTATCACCACCAATTCGAAAAAAAAGATCATATACTTTTCTGGCTCTTTCTGTTTTCTTTCGGAGTGCATGTTTAGTAACTTCTTTTGGAGCTGATCTCTGACTTCTTCGTTGATTTTCTTCTGGGCCTCATGCTCTTCCATATATTGTTTATAGTTGGTGAGACGTTTCTCCAGTTCCTCTCCAAAGAAGTAATATGCTCTTAAGATTTCGTGACGTGTATTATCGCTATTTTCCTCGGCTTTGGATATTTTTAAATATAGATCGAAAAAAATTCGGGAACCCTCAACTTCTCGTACCGATTCTTTGTGAAGACCTTTTTTCTCCCTAATTTCAGAAATTCGAGTGGTATCAGACGATAATTCCCGGATAAGTCTTTTTAATACGATCGAGTCCTCATCCTTAATCACTTTCTTAACTTTTTTACTAGAGGAATTTTCGGTTGATTCATCCGTAGCTTCATTAGTTCGCTTTTTTCCTGTCGAATCAGATTGGGTTTCAACTTGAGATTCTTTTTCCTTCTCTTCTTCCCTGTCTTCATCTCTATCATCCATATTCACATCTTGATCTTGAGACAAAATCTTCTCACCCATATCCACGTCTCGATCCTGGGAGAAAATTCTTTGCGAATTAATCTCAATATTATGAGTAAATTCATCAACTAGAGTTGATGTGCCACTTATTTGAGAAGATACAGAGTCCCGTCTCTGAGTTTCATCAACATCAACGCTTTTGCCACAGCCGGAAAAAGGGCATATACTTGGTACCGTATGCATGATTTTTTTCTCGATACATATTCTATGAAATATATGCCCACAACCACCGAGAACAGTAAACGATTCATATGTAAGTGTTAAAATTTTTTGTTACATATTGAGCATAGTGGTAGTTCCGTAACATGGATATCTTGGTCAATCTTTTCGCCCGTCTCCTTTAAAATATTATATGCAAGGGTTTTAAGACTGGAGAGACTCATAACAACGAAGGATATAGTCAGATAAGTAGTCTCATACCTGTTTTTATAAACCGACATGAATGATCTAAAGAGGTAAGATTCGTTTATTCTTAGCGATATTTACATTAGTTGCGATGATTGATGAAAAAAATATTTATACTAACTAGAATTGTCGCTACGTCCAAATGGCACAAAGAGAGGTGAATTCGTTTATTCTTAATGAGATTCATGATCAACGAAAAAAATTATTTAATATTAGTATAACAAGGCCAAAATAACCAATTAACATGTATCTGAAAACTAGATTACATTAAAATGCACAGATTGAACGGTCCGATTTTGTATAAGTTTCACCGGTATTTAAATCATAATAATATCCTTCATCATCATTGTCAGAAAATCCACAGAACCCATCATCATCAGAGGGTTCCGAGTTAAAATCTAAAGAATTCAAAAACGATCTGAACTGGAAAAATTAATAGATTTAGTTCTTTGGATTGCATATGGAAAAACCAAAACGATACCAGTTTCGTAATCAACGATTTGAGTATTGCTCCGGAGCATAACCTGGAGTATTACTCCCGGGAGCATAACCTTGAATATTACTCCGGAGCATAATCTGGAGTATTACTCCGGAGCAAATGATCTGGGTTGAATTGGGTTGGGTTGTGATCTGCTCTATGAAGTATGAACCCAACCCTCTACTAGGATTCATTTTTTTACATTGTTACATGTATAACGAACTCCGCTACAGTCGTCACGTCAGGAGTGATTCTAAAAATATATTTATGGATAATACACATCTAAAGTTATATAAGATCATCATCAAATAATAATTATAATAAATCAAAAACGAATTGTTTTTCTATAGCGATAGTGTAATATGTGTAGAGTAGGGGGTAATAATCACTAGATTAAATCTCTATGTAATAATTTTTATAAATGCAAGTACAAATTAGCGAGAGTGGGAATTAATGATAATAAGAATATGCATCAATAAATAGAGAATATGCATCAATAAATAGAGAGAGAGAATGCACTTTCATAATATCAAATGTATATAAATGTGTGTACATATGCAACGACAACGAATAAATTATGATGTGTTTTACTGCTCAAACATTTTTCTAATAGCTGCTGTTGAATATGATTTTGGTCTTTCGATTGGGAATCCCCTGGAAAAAATAAATGAATTTTTAATTTTATGGAAAAAATTTTCATCAACAAAATGTGTTAGTTAACTAGCAAAATCTGTACTTACAAAGCTCTATCCCAAATCACTTGACTTAATACACCAAGTGCCCGGGAAACACCAAACAATACTGTATAGTAGTTTTGTTCGTCGAGCCCATAATACTGTAATAGTGCACCGGAATGTGCATCAACATTAGGCCATGGATTTTTTGTTTTTCCATGTTCCGTAAGCACTTGTGGGACAATATTATACAACTGTGAGACTAGTTTGAAAAGAGGATCATTGGGAAGATGCTTTAAGGCGAATTCACGTTGGGCTGTATATCGTGGATCCTTTATTAATAAATACCAAAAAGCAAAGATTTATTAGAGGGGGAAAATGGTGTTTACTAGATACAGAAACCAAGGAATTCACTTACAGTTTTTCTAAGCACAGCATGACCATAACCTGGAACCACACGACCAGAATTCAATGTGTTCCACACGTATTCTCTAACTGTTTCGTCATTAGCAGAAACTCCAATTTCGCTTTGCATTTTAAGAATCCAGCTAATAACTTCCTGGTTTGCGAGACTTAAGAATATACAAGGGATAGATAATATCGTGTAAGTTTTATTAGTTAAATTAGCTAAATCGACATTCGAATACATACCCATGTAATGGACCGGCTAGGCCATCAAGTGCTGCTGCAAAAGCTAAATATGGATCAGAGAGAGTACTAGCGACTAAATGCTATAGAATCATCGAAACCTGTTAGCAAATTTACATGCAGTACTAATATAATGGAGAACACGGGAAACCAATAATATTTACCGCAGTGTGTGCAGAAACGTTTCCTCCTTCGTGATCAGAATGTATAGTAAGATATAATCGTAATAATTCTACGAAATCCTTATTATTTTCATATCCCAATACTTTGGCTAAATTGTACGAATAATCCTTATCCGATTCAAGAGCAGGTACTTTTCCATCTTTAAATACATTTCTATAAATTCTTCCGGCAATATTTGGCAATTTAGCAATTAGGTCCATCGTGTCTTCAAACGTGGATATCCAATATTCGTTCTTATTTATCCCAGATTGATAAGCTTTGACGAAATTAGAGTCATGTTGCAAAGCGGTAACTGCTAATGAAAATTGTGACATGGGATGTAAAGTGTTTGGACATCTATCAATCAATTCCTCAACAAAAGAAGGAACATCAGATCGAGCAGCCCATTCCGCAGAAAGTCCACGAACTTGTTCCGTTGTAGGAATTTCACCAGTTACAAGGAGCCAAAAAAGTCCTTCAGGTAACGGTTCTTCCCCACCTTCAGCTTTTGGCAAAAGCTTTTGGCATTCAGCAATTGTGTAGCCTCGGAATTTGATTCCTTCATCGGGGTCAAGCACCGATCCTTCCCAGATTAAACCCTTGATCCCTCGCATGCCTCCATATGCCATATCGACAGTCACATTGCCTAAACTTTTAGCACCGTGTTCTTTTTTCACATATTTTATTTCTTCTTGCCTTTCGGGAATTATTTCAGCTAGTCTTTCCTTTAAGCTCTAAAGTAATAATAAGAAAGTTTTATTTAACCGGTTGAATTCCATATAATATAATTAAACATACTTTTGCGTTAGAGGTATGTAGTAACTTTATATTCCTCGCAGAAGTGTTCGTAATAACAGGACATGCTTGTCGTGAGTAGAAAGAGGATATAGAAAGGAGCTAAGAAAACATTAAAAAACACGAACGTCAGTAAAATGCAGTTTTCACAAGATTTTCCAATTTTCCGAAAACCTTCATACCACTTGATAGATAGATAAAACAGTTTCAAATATTTTGAATCTTAAAAAGAAAATTATGATTGACCTTTGTTACGTTAGAGGCATTTCGCGTGTAGGCACGTATTAAAGACATGATTTTTAGTTTGAATACTCGTAAAGGAACAAAAATCCGAATCAAAGACAAAAAAAAGATATTCATTTGACACACGTTTTAATAAAAATTTCTCGGTTTCACAGTATCACATGGATTTGCATGCTATCAATCTAGTTCTGATATGAAATGCATAAAAGTCGATTCGGAAGCACACGGATTCGGCGTTAAAAAAATGATTGATGCGCACAAATCTTGATGAGATTTTCGATGATCAAATGTCAGAGACAATTAAAAAAAAAAATCGTCTTTCATTCTCATTTTCACAGATGCGCCGTGATAATAAATAATGAAATTTATTATTAAGAGCCATTTTTCGTAATTTCTGTCATACATAAAACTGGCGGCGAAAAACCAACTTGCATTTATTGGTCTAGGCAACATGGGGTAAAATTATTACGATTATGATTATCGTTTATTGAGCAATCTTTTCATATTTTGGATTTTCAAGCCTTCCAATAGCTTTGAATCTTCATAATTATCTCAAAGAAAAGAACAATACACCGCTCATTGTTTATAATCGAACATTAGCCAAAGCTGCGCCTCTTGTTGATGCTGGTGCTACTCTAGTGCATTCTGTGGCCGAAATTTCGGAAAGAGCAAATATTATCTTTACATCCGTTGCAAATGATCAAGCACTCGTAGATGTTTTAGATTCGATATTTAATTGCTTAGGCAAGAAATCTGGCCAAGAATTTATAATTGTAGACCTTAGCACCGTTTATCCTACTACAATTGGAGAATTGCATGAGAAAGCACAAAAGATCCCGAATTTGCATTTGCTTCATTGTCCTGTATGGGGACCACCTGCACTTGCAAAGGTAAATTAATTTAGAATTCGACGTGAAAGAATTAATAATTATATGAATAATTATTCGTTTTGATTAAGAATGCACAATTAGTCATTATAACCTCGGGTGATCGACACGCTATAGAACGTGTATCATCTTTTCTTGTTCCAGTGATTGGTCGAAAAATAATTGACGTCGGTATGTTTAAAGTTAACAATCGCATAAGGTTATTCTACTTATTAAGTTTGCTTTACGTAAACAAACACCAGGCAGCGATGTTAAAAAAGCTGCTTCATTTAAACTTAATGGTAACTTTTTTATCGCTGGAATTGTTGAGCTATTATCCGAAGGCTTGATCCTTTCCGAAAAAACAGGCCTAGGACAAGATAAAATGTTAGAATTCATTGATACATTTTTCCCGTTCAGCCTTTTTCAGTATTACGGTATTTAATAATTACATATAAAAAGATATATTACATTAACCAATAATTTTTGATCTGATCCATTTACATACTTACATACTAGGACGAAAGATTCGCGAAACAGCTTTCACATCCAATGTTGGATTTACTATTGAAAACGGGATGAAAGATCTCAAGTATTTTATGTTAATCATGTTTATTTGTTTATTTAAGGCTAGTATATTCTATTGTTGATATTTTGAAAATGTTTCAGGCACATGCGTCGCCTGGCTGAAGAATCTGGCGCACAAGTTCCAATTATTGATTTGGCATTCGAACATTTAGTTTCTGCTAGAGCTAATAAATCATCAGACCTTGATTGGTCTTCTATTGCCGGATCTTTGAGAATTGGTGAGCATTATGAAAATGCAAATTCAGAATATTTTGAGTTCTTATTTTTGACAAATATTATATATTTAGCTGCGGGTTTACCCTTTTCTTCACCAGAACAAGAAGATATATCTCCTAATCAATAAATATCAATAAATAAAGATTAAATAATAATTTCTTACGTAACAATCAAATCGCCAGATATTTTTTTATAAAAACAAATAAAATTTTTGTATGTTACACTTGATCTTTACGATTGGATTGGTAGCTTATCACGTGATAATACCTGCTTTTAGTGGACCCCTTTTTCGGTCTTTAAACAGGGCAAAATGTCTTCAAAGGAGTTTTTAAGCTCAGGGCGAGGATCTGTAATTACACCTGTGGGGCTTAATACTTCCGAAAGCAGCTCAGTCTATGCTTCTTCAGAATTTTATGAGGCGACGCAATCGTCTGCTCAGCCGTCAACTATAGTTTCTGAGAACTTCTCAGAGCAAATTGAACAAGTTTTACAACCTCCAACTATATTTGAGGAATCGTCAGAAGAAACTGGGCAAATTTTCTCATCTGATTCAGTAATTACATGTTTTCCTGTCACAACCAAAGCGCCAGGTATACCTTCGCAAGCTTCAACATCCTCTAAACCTTCGGAATCTTTGGGAACCTCAGAATTGGTTGATTTGGAAGAATCTACAGAGTTTATGGAATTTGATGAACAGAGGATCCCTTTAGAAATATTGAATATAGATGCAAATCAACAAGAATCAGAAAGTGAGCTTATGGAATTTTATGAACAGAGGATCCCTTTAGAAATATTGGATATGGATGCAAATCAGCAAGAATCAGAAAGTGAGCTTATGGAATTTGATGAACAGAGGATCCCTTTAGAATTATTGAATATAGATGCAAATCAGCAAGAATCAGAAAGTGAGCAAGAATCAGAAAGTGAGGAAGAATCAGAAAGTGAGGAAGAATCAGAAAGTGAGCAAGAATCAGAAAGTGAGGAAGAATCAGAAAGTGAACAAGAATCAGAAAGTGAGCCAGATAGTTCAGATGAACCAACCAAAAATGAGAATCATGAAATGCTCTTTTTTCCTCCTGGTTGCTCGAATTGCAAAGTTAAAAATTCATCGTGTTTCTCTAATACACTTTGCAACGGATGCTGTAAACATATTTTTGTCATGTATAAATTTTTCGTTGTTTTTAAATATGTTAAAAAAGTTTTCAATCAATATACATTTACAGATAAATTTTGGAAGATTCATAAAAAGCACAGACCATTAATACCACTACAAAAGGATGAAAATGCGCACTACGCTGCTGGATGTTCCAATTGTGGTATAACACTATCCGTGTTTTTTGTACAAGGAATGTGCAAAAATTGCTGTAAGAAAATTTCAATCAATAGTCTTTTTGCATTTTTTTTTGTTTACAAACAATCATTGCATTTTGGTTTGATCATTGATATGTAGATAATTACTTTAGAAAGCATAAAAAGCCACGTCCACCGGAATGTATTTGGAAATTCGAAATAAGAAAATCAAAAAATAAGAATCCGTTCGCGTATTCAAAATATAGGTGTCCGTGCGCGAATTGCGGAGTAACTTATGAAGAAACTCGTGGCCTAAAATGGAAGTTTGATGACGATTCTCGTCTGCTTTGTGGCGCATGCCGTAAGGATTTTATTTGATATTGCTTCAAGATTTTTGATTAATATTATATAGATACTGTAATGCCAATTAATGACTTTTGGTTCCAGACAGATATTGGCTCAAGCATAAAACATATCGTTCAAGCAAACTAATTGGAGTTTCTAGAAGGAGAAGGATAATGAACGAACAAGCGAGACTTTATAAAGTTATAGCTCATATTCCTTGTATTAATTGTGAAGCTCAAGTATCTTATTATTTCAAGGATGGACGTTGCGCTCTTTGTTGTAAGAAATTTTTTCGAAATTTTGATTGATCCCTTTTAAGTAGCTATTGAGATAAATTCTGAATCATTTCGATTATTTAGATAATTGGTATTTAAGATTCGAAGAAGAAAGGCCTGAAAATAAAACCATAGAAAAAGAAAAGCTCGAAGATTTCTTAAAGAATTTTGAATGGACAAATTTAATTGATCGGTAATTGTCTGGAGTTAATTATTCTTTTTTATTAATTAATTTAAACTTTTTTGCTCTGCTTTATATATAGCCTTATTCATGATGGCGGCGTGAAATACGGGGTTGGCTATGATTCAGCAAGGTTTAAAGTACTTGCTAAAGATCTCGTCTATAATCCAAACTTGCTACCAACTAAAATCATAAAGTCAAGATGGAAACGTTTTTCTATATATGGTAATTATAAAATATTGATTTTTTCGCGGGCCATGAAAAAATATATTCACTCATTGAACTTTACAGCGCGAAAATTTATGTTACTTCAGAAAGATCATAGTCCTTTCCGAGATGAAAATGGTCGATTGTATATAACATTCAGCAAGTATGTCATCACTTTCCTAATATTCAACCAACAAGCCTTTCATTATCCAGTTATATTTACATAATTCCTATACAAATTTATAGCTGTAGAATTCCAACAGATGCTGCTGCCCGATTTACCATTAAAAAAGCTATTTTCAATATGCACACAAATTCACAAGGAGAAAATAAAATCTATAAATTATATTTGGGGCTATATAATTGCAAGAAAGAATACGAAAACTCCACTCCTATAGTTGATTTGAATTTCTATGATTCTGAAAAGGATGACTTTGAAAATATTATTAATGAAGACCAAGAATCTGGGTTTCAGAGTAATCTGCGTTGGGAAGCATTTGATGATAAGGGCAACTTGATCTCCAGATCTAAAGACCGGAAGGGCAAACAACCAGCTGTCGAAAACGATAATGTGATAGTGATCGATGAAAAAGATAATGTGGAGATTATCAAAGACGAAGAGAATCAGATACCAGTTGATTTTAGCAAAAAAATAGGTTAGTTTAGTGTGTTTATGATTTATTTTATAATTCAAGGAATCCTTGTATATTAATATTTTTTATATACAGATAATGTTCCGCGGCCCCAAGTTAATCTAACCGAGAAACCTATACATGATCCAAACTCCGTTATCTATAGTAAAGACGAAAATAAAATTGTTTACGTCTTCGCTGTGCAATTTTTCAATTCATCTCTTGATAATCTAGATGCACATGGACAGATTCAATGGCTCAAGGCGGAACGATTAATGGAGCGAGATACTGAATATGCTCCAAAATGTCCCCCGTCTATATTGACTTTATCAAACACCAAATATTATTATCGTGATTTCATAAAGTTCTAAAATTGGTCACAGCTAAAAATATTAATTTTAGCCATTCAAATTTTTCATGTCAACAAAAAATTACGAATTTTAATGTAAGAGAAATATCAGGATATGAGTGAAAGAAATGAGAACGTGCAGTATTGCACACTCATCTAATAAAATAAATAAATTGACTTTGAGTTACAAGCAACAATTCTTACCATTATCATTTTCATCCAATTTAAAAACCGTATCCGACCAAGTTTCCAAATATCCATTCTGAGGGCCGCATCAATTGAGCGATTCGCATCAATAAGATAGAGTAGATACTTTGCGACGACCAATTACTTTCCCGGGTTAATAGTTGCGTTATTCCAGGTATATTGGTAGTCGAAAACGGGCACATTATTTGCTATGTCGGCTTTTTAATATTTAAATATTGGGCGAGCGTTTGCGTGGTGTTCCAATGAATTATGTTTGTGCTGATTCTGCTTACGGTTGAGAATACCACTGGGGTTGAAATATATGGAATTTTAGTTGTCGGTGTTGGAGTTGGTGTCGGCGTTGCACTATTAGTATTACTATTCGTCGCGCTATTTGTATTACTATTATTATTGCCGTTATTGTCGCCGTTGTTATTGTTATCGTCCTTTCTGGAATAGAAAACTAAAGTTGCTAAATTTAATTTCATTTAATAATCTCATTTATACTCATGTCCACCAAGATATTTGCTGTTGTTCAGCGATATAAAAATTATCACAAAAGAAAATAGAAAAATAAAAAGAGCAATTTATTATTTTTGTCGCTCATTTTGCTTCTAATTGATCGTTCGTTTTCTCTATCGAAGAAGCGAGATACAGCAATTTAAACTTTGAAAAATCATTGTATAATCCATTATTTAATAAAAAACGCGTTTGAATTATTCCTTATTTGGAATGCTGTCCGTCGCGTTTCCCAATACCATTGATTCAAATCCTTTTTCCACCATTGATTTTAACTTAGGGTTACACGAAATACATCGACAATGAAGTATTCGAGCTCTCTTACGTTTATCAATTTATATTTAGCGCAAATAGTCGATTACCCTAAACCAAAAGATACTAAAAGGGAAGAGAAAAAATAAATCAGTTGACAATTTCATTTGTTAAATGGGTGATCATGATGCATTATACTGCTTGTTTTCCTCCTATGTTATACATTTTTGTTACACGAATTTCGACTGTAAATGATTTAAATGATGATGTTTTGTTTGATTCTTTTCTGTTTTTAAAAAAATACAAATTCATTCAAATAACTATTAAAAATATAAAAATATTCTTTCTTTTTACTCACATACAATGTCGTCAGATATACTTGCATCACTCAAAACCAAGAGAAAAAATGAACTCAAAGGTACAGTGTTTTGCTACAGTAAATATTATGTTCTATTCGTTTTTTTCGTATACTCAATACATGTACAATCGCAGCTGTGGAATAACTCTCTCTCTCTCTCTCTCTCTCTCCGCTTCTTGTATGCGTGATTGTTGTTCCTAGAACTCGCAATTGAATATGGCCTAAGTGTTAAGGGTCTTAGAATCGATATAGAAAATCGGATAAGGTATTTCTTGTTTTTCTTAGAATGTCTCGTCTCTTTCGGATTATTTGAATATCAAAAATTTGGCCATTTATAAATTGTACTACAGAGAATATTTATTAGAACGACAAAAAGACATTGAAGAAAATTCGGAAGAGGATGAGGAAGATTCTTCAGAACCTCCCTCACCAGTCCGGTCTCCGCGTAAAAAATCTAGATCTCCTAATAAAAGATCGAGGTCTTCAAGCAAAAAACGTAACTTGAATGGCGATAGGTTAGTAGGCTACTTTTGATGAACGTTAATTTCCACTATAGTACAAATTTGGAAGCTTAAGTTGTTTTTGATAGCATGTCTCAACCTTTTATATTAATTAGTCGTTCAGAAGGATATTCATCAGAGCCATTAGATAACCCGAAGTTACCCGAGCAGGTAATTCACAATAATTATCTCATATTTACTTTAAAGTTCATGATAATAATAATAACAATAATAGTTAAATTAATTTGCAGGAAGTTCAAGAAGAGGAAGTTCCAGAAGAGGGTGAATTACCCGCAAGCACGCCTTTTAATGGTGGCTCTCACTCCAGTCGAAGTATTGAAGACCCCAATGTGAATTCTTTCGCAAGAACACTCAGTTTTGAGGCAATTAACGATGGAGTGATTGAACTTAGACGTGTGAGTGTTTTTTCGTTTGTTTTGTTTTATCAAAATTACCTTAATCCTTAATACAAATCAATTCTTTTCTAGTACGTGACAAATACTCGAACATTCGTGATAGCGTCTATAACATTACAAATTGCTGTTTTCTTATACGTTTCAATTGAATGGACAAAGGTATATTTTTTAAATTTGTGTTTAATTTATTCTTGATTCGATTTGGTTTGTTTCCAAATAAAAAAAATTTGCTATTTTTGTTAACAAATAGTTTGCCACTGTTCCCATTGGACTTTTTTCGACTGAAACACGAGAATACTCGATCAATCTTCTAGGTCCAGATTTGACAATCCTCGGGGAATGGCATCGATTTTGGCGTCCATTATTGGTATACTGGGGATACCTTGTGTTATTACCATTAGTATTTGCCTACGTATTTAATTTCGAGCCTCATCGTCATACTGCCAGTCCGCTCGCTTTTTCCGTAGCTCAGTATTGTATTCTATTCATATCGGCTGGTAATTTGGACTGGGCGGAGGATGTTCGTGATTTCATTCCTGAAACTATCATATACAGTGGTGCTGGGGCGTCTGTTATATTTGCATTTTATGAAGGATTGTTGGCAAATACGAGTGTACAGATCTGAATGGACTCGAGGTTCTAAAAAATATTTTTATTTTTATCACTAGATTTACAATAGACAATCATTCTCTTTCTCTCTTGTATCCTTGGCTATATTTGACTTTTATTATTAATAATGGCTGGTTGAATTTGTGAATTTTGGTTGATCATGTTCGGTGGTATAGAATCTTGGTTATTAAGAGAATTCAAGGGCAAGGAGGTCGTGTATATACTTAAATTAATAATCTAAAGATGATAATAATATAATAGGAATAACAACTTAATAGAAACGCACTCAAGATTTTACATCAAAATAGAAAATTAGCAATGTAAAGGGTCGATCAACGATCATTTTTGGCTAAAATGGAAATAAAATGCTTTTTTTCATATCGATATGTTTTTTTTTCGGGTAAAGATAAATGCCACCATTATTAACCACGTTGCTTGGTGAAACGGGGCAAGAGTGTGAGATAATATACCTGAAACTTCACTTGCTTGCAGTGAACTATAACTTTTCATCGACAAGAACACGTGTTCAATTGCGAATCAACGATAAACGATGGTTACGGATTTCTTCAGGCTGGCTTGATATTTATATAGTTAGTATATCATGAGTGTTCTATATATGACAAAAGGATTACTTATCTTTGCTTCCCGAAACCTTTTAATTGTTCTAAAAAATAACACGAAAATATATCCTTCGTAGCTTTTTACTATTTTTGTTTTACTCGTGATATCACCGTCACCGAGACTTTCCACGCACGAACACAAATACTTTCCCTCTTTAACCGAAAAAATACTATCCAAACAATTCAAGCATAGCCAATAAACGAAACGAAACAGAATTACGAAACTATTCATTAGCCATGTCTAACACATTCACTAATTCTGCATTGGCAAATGGTTCCCGAAAATATAAAAAAAGCGCGAAGAATGAGACTGTGTCGTCTCTGACAGTAAATAATAACAGCAATAACAGTAAAAACCACAATAATATTGGTAACGTATTTGAGCCAATGGATATTGACGACGTGCAAGCTAAACGGCAAACTGGTGGAATTGTGCCTTATCAAATTCGGGACAATTCAACGATAAAGTCATCGTTTGGAAGTAATGGGTCAAATACGGTCAATACTACTACTAATAGTCACTTAAACCAGCAGCCAAATGAACGTTATTTCAATAATAATAAACCAAATGACACCAAGGAACCATTTCAACAACAGCAACAGCAGCAACAGCAGCAACAGCAGCAGCAACAGCAGCAACAGCAGCAACAGCAGCAGCAGCAGCAGCAGCAGCAGCAGCAGCAGCAAAAACAACCACAACAACCACCACATCATCAATATCATAGTCAAGAAGTTGGTGGTTATCTCAATTTCTCAAATATTGATAATAAGAAACTTGGGCCATCTAATAATAACAATAACAATAACAATAATAACAATAATAACAACAACAACAATAATAACCACAACAACAACAACAATAATAATATTGCGATTCAACAACAACAGCAACAAAATTTCTATGCTTCTGACCTGAATGTTGTTGCCGCTGCTGCTACTTGGGATATCAATATGCTAGTGGATCTCACACTATCAAGAACATCGTTAGATCGTGAGGTCGTTTTAGCCGCAGCACAACTATTTCAATTCGCTAATCAGGCATATCGTCATGCTGCCGTCAGCAATGCTGGTGGATATTATCTTCACCAATCTAATAATTCAAACAGCTCCGAAGATATGGTCCCACGCCCAAGTGCAATGTCATTGTCAAATCTTTTGTTGCCGTCTTCATCAGATGAATCAGGTGCTGCCGCCGCCGCCGCCTCTTCATCACAACCTGCGGTAAATAAATTCCCTTTTTTTCTCAATCTTTCGTGCAAAACTTGATTGCTCGATTTCCCGTTTTATGGATAAAAATTAACAAATATTCTTGAAAAAATAGAGCGAAAAAAAATTATTTCCAGACGATAAAATTTTGATGAGTTTCAATTAACTTTTAGTTTTCTTTTTCTTTTGAAAAGGTAAAGAGATTTAATAATCATCAACAGAAAAACATGGTTTGAAAATTGGAGTATTCACATTGCTGAAAATTTATGAATTTATATGTAATTGAAAGTTGGGATGGATGCAGAATTACCTTATTATCATCTTTAAATCAAATCAAAAATCTTAATAATTCTCACAAAACATACTTACACAAAACCATTTCATTACTTCATATTTCGAAAAAGAATCTCGAATGCAAATTATTCATTATTTCATAGTTATAATGCATGCGAGAAGTATTCCCTTTCAATTCTTATTCCTAAAAAAAAGACATAATTCTTTCATCTATTTCAGTAAATAAAAAAATCGATAATTGAAAATTTCTTGTTTAATAATTATGAGATTTTTCCCAAAATTTATTGTACTTTGTGTCTAAAAGATCTTTGGAGGGACTAGTCGTCAAGTCCGTGATCTATGAACTTGTCTCGTAAACGGGTTAATAACAACTGAAGGATTTATTGCTCGAGAAAAAGATCACCAATTGACATACGTCATCTCACTAATACAATCTTGACGAAAAAAAAAAAGTTACGAAACCAATCAAATCGCAAGATCATCTCGAAATTATGTTTATGAACCCCCCCCCCCCCCGGGGGACATTTTGGACAGTGCTGAATCAGGTGATAAAATTTATAATGCTCAAAGATTGTCAATAACCAATAAGAATGCACAAATTTTTTTTTATCCAAAAAGTGATTAAAATGTCGGAATTCAGAATCCAATTAAGGAAATTTGAAATTTGGTTCGGTAAAACTGAATAGCATTTCGATTATTATAATTATATAAAATTTTGCCAGGAACATTTTTTCATAGGCGAAATCATAAATTTCGGCACTGGCCCGGAAAGATCACCTGATTCAGCACATTTTCACGCAATTACGCAATACTCTGTAGATCAGAAAAGTAACTATTTTCTGACTATGAATATACACCCAGAAACCTTTGGCATCGCTCCAACAACGTCCGCTCCTATAGAGCAGCACGGTTTTTATCCATATAGTCAAAGTGGCGGGTAAGCCTTCATTTGCTAAATATATATACTTTTCTATGCAACAAGTTCCAATAATTAATGTGTTCCAGTATTAAAACATACTAGGAGTGCATTGGGGATCGCAGGAGAAGATTACTGTTTGGTAGCCGCCGATACGCGACAAAGCCAAGATAGCTACCTGATTGGTTCCCGCTATGCTCCCAAGGCTTTTAAATTGTAACGTATCATCTAGTAAATTAATTTTGTTGTTCCTAAAATATGAAGCAAAATAATAGTGTCGACCGATTTTCATATTTTTTTTTACCGAAATAGAACAGATACTTCTGTTATAGCAGTTGTTGGCTTTCCAGCTGATGGTGTATCATTGGTCAAGAGACTTCAAAAAAGCATAGAGGTGTGAATAGAATGAATATACGTGTCGCGTGTACTTGATTTAATTATTTATGTTGACCCGTGGTTTTTGACTATAGTGGTACAGACATAATCACGAAAAAACAATGTCCACAGCTGCAATCGCTCAAATGCTTTCGACAATATTATATAGCAAACGATTTTTTCCTTATTACATTTTTACTATATTGGGTGGATTGGATGAAAATGGTATTTTTATTATTTCCGTTATAATTTACAAGGTTGGCACCTGGACCAGTCCAAAAAATGTTGTCCAAATATCTACATAATTAAATTACTAATAAATTTTTGTCCAAAATTGTCCAAGAGCCAACCCTGTAAGTTATAATAATATTCTTCAATATCAAAAAGACCCTAATAATTAATTTATAGGTCGAGGCGTTATATACTCGTATGATCCCGTAGGATCGTTTGAACCCCAGATAAACAGAGCTATTGGTACAGGAGCTGAGCTCATTCAACCATTCTTGGATAATCAAGTAATTGTTTTAAATAAAAACCGCTATATTAATTTCGTTTTGAACTTTTCGTTAAAGAAAGCTATTTTTTTATCTATTATTATTTCGACATTATAAATTCAATCAAATAACAATAAATAGGTCAGCTTCAAAAACATGCCAAAAGCTGAACGTTCTCGCTTACCATTAGATCTGGCACTCCACATTACAAAAGATGCATTCACATCCGCGACTGAAAGAGACACCTTGACCGGAGATTATCTCGAAACATTTATTATTACCAGAGAGGGAATCAATATTGAGAGATCTGATTTGAAGAAAGACTAAATGATTAGTGTGGCATGCCGTAATAGGTTTAATAAAGTTGTAAGGTTGCAACTTTTTGATTTAAAAATCGTAATTTTTCCCGCAATTGGTATAATATTTGTAATTGTTGTAAAGTTCATAATTGGTGTAAAGGTCGCAATTAATATTTGTACAAAATAATGAAATCCGTAATAATGAGTAATTTCACGTACGGAGAAAATCGAGTTTAAGGCCCACCAGTTAATTCACCAAAACTTAGAGAATCGAATAATCAGCGATCATAGAAATGTTTGATATCTAATAAAGGTTGGACATTACAAGCCAGGTTGTAATCCGAAATGTTCGTAATTATTACTTACGCCAGCATCTCTAAATATGTGCTATTAAGAAGTCATCATTTCATTCTCTAGCTGCCAGATTAATAATTGTAAGAAATTTTTTATCCCACATCCAAATAATTTTATTTATTTATTTTTTAATAGATAAATTTAATTGAAATGACACTCTCAATAATGAATTCAAATCTATGTCACGTACATGATCATTTTCATGAGTAAAGACACTCACTTCTAAAAGAGCAATTAGCATTGCTACTTATTTGGTCTTTTTTTATTCAATAGAATTATCATCTATAATATTATAATCAGATAATGAAAGAGTTTTGCACAGATATTATTATAAACTGATCAAATTATAATTATTGATAAAATAAATGAATAATTCAGATATTCTTAAAGAACTTATAAAATATATGAATGAAATATTGAAATGAAAATGAAAAGAAAATATTAATCATAATAATTGATCTTTTTGATTTAAGATTTCTTGTTATAATTATAAATAATTCATGATATCAATTATATAAAAAAATATCTTATAACTTATTTATAGTAATAAATTTATAGTAATTATATATTAATTATTAATTTATTCAAGAAAATAATAATATAAATTTAAATAATAATATAAAAACTGAATAATATCATTAATATTATCTATAATATACTGGATTTTAATTAAAAATTCCTATTATTAGAATTAAATAGTATTTTCAGATATTATATATATTAATAAATATAAAAGATTATTAATCTTATATTATAAATTTTTAATATAAAATATTACAAGAAAACTTCAAAGTTTAAAAAGTAAAAAATATATAAAAAATTTAGTTTTAATAAAAAGTTAATATAGTAATGACCAAAAATAATAACTCAAAGGTTAAATTTATTAATAAAACATAATGAAAGTTAAAATTTTCTCTTTATATTAAAATTTATAATTTTATTAAGAAATAATTTTTATTTTTATATTAAAATAAAGTTTA